ATTGGTACTGATTTAAAATTTGACGGAACTTGAAATGCTATGTCTAAAGGTGTAGATGTTTCTCTACCTAACATAAGGTAGTTGGGAGACATACCTGTGGTTTCGTTGTCAGATGCTCGATAAGCCATCATCACATAAGGTAAGTACTCATCCCAGTCTTTATGATTCTCGTCAACAAAAACATACTAAGCATTCTAGTTTAATGTTTTTATTAAAAACCTCTACCATACCATCTGATTGCGGGTTTGGTAAGGTTTTGTTCTGGTCTTCTGTATTGCAAGCAGCTCACAACATTTCATGAAAAAACTAAACTTTCGAACTGCCTTACCTTGATCAGAATGTATTCTACTCGGTACCCTCAAACCTTGCTATAATTTGTTCTACCATTATTTTAGCAACAGTTTTTGCCTCCATGTTTGGCATGGCAAATGCCTTCAGTCCACTTTGTGAAATAATCAGCAATTAAAAAGTATATATTTATTACCTTGTTCTGTTTGTGGTAACTCACCTAGTATATCTACCGCAATTTCTTTCCATTGGAAAACCTGACCTAACTACATTCGTCGGTTGCTTTATTATTCGGTATTGGGCCTTTTGCGTTTTAAAGCATTTTTCACAAGTACTAACATAATTTCGTACATCATTTTGTAAACCAGGCCAGTAATATCGTTGTCTTATCTTACTAAGTGTTTTTACGGATACCCAAAAAAGACCTGATTGCCTTTATATCATGAGAGAATTTTAAGACTTTTACCCGAAAACTAATTGGAAATTATAGCCTGCCAATTAATAATGTTTGTACCTATCACTTCCCATTTTCTAAACTAAAAACCCTTCACGTAAACTTAGTCTTTGCCTTTGTGCCCATAAAGATTTCAAATAGTAACTTTTTCACAACCAATATCTTACACTATCTGATTTCCATGTTTCAAACCATTTTATTATTGTTTTGAATATCTTTGTCATTATTCTGTGCAACTTGAAGTGAAATGTCCTAAATCTTGATCATCTGTATCCTGTGTCAAAATAGCTGCTGAAACCTGAAATTTTCTTTCATTTAACTGGATGACCTGTTATTCCACAATTGTTTAAAAAGGTATTCTACTTAATGCATCAGCGTTTCTATGCATTTTCCCAGGTCGATGTTCTATTTTTCATATATTGTATGAAGCAAGTATTTCAAGCCATCTTTGCAAACTTGTTCCTTCCGGATTTTTAAACTGCATAAGCCATCTAAGTGACCCATGATCGGTTCTTTACTGTAAACTGTTTACCATACAAATAATGTTTTGAAGTATTTGAGCGAAATATACAAGTGCTAAAAGCTCTTTACGTGTGACACAGTATTTTACGTTCAGCCTTTGTCAATGATCGGCTTGCATAGGCAATGACCCGTTCATGTCCATCTATTTTCTGTGACAAAATTCCACCAATAGCAACATTGCTACATCGGTATCCAATATAAATTCTTGTGTGAAGTCTGGGTGCGCTAGCAAAGGTGCCTCTGTTTTAATTTCTGTTTCAGACATTTAAATGCCTTCAGAACATTCTGTATTCCAATCAAATTTTTGAGACTTTCTCTGTTAATTTATGTAAGGGTTTAGCAATATCTTGAATAACCTGTTATGAATTTTCTGTAATAGCTACAAAGTCCTAAAAATGAACGAAGTTCATGAACATTTCTAGGCGTTGGCCATGACTTTATACAGTTTACTTTTTGTGGATCAGTTTTAATACCATCAGACGAAACAATGTGCCCAAAGAAACTCTACTTCCTTTGCAAAAATATTACATTTTCTAGGTTTTTAATTTAAGACCTGATTCTTCTAATCTTTTTAAACACTGTATCTAAGTTTTCGAGCATATTTTGAAAGTTTTTTTCCCTATGACAATTATATCGTCAAAAGGTAAATCAAACAAACACTCCAATGTAAACCAGCTAGTACTGTCTCCATGAGCCTTTGAAAAGTCGCTGGCGGCATTGCACAAACCAAAAGGCATAACTTTAAACTGATACAACCCTTGCCTAGTCATAAAAGCTGTTTTGGTTTTTTATCTTCGGGCTTCAACTTCAACCTGCCAGTAACCTGAGCTTAAGTCTAAGCATGAGAACCATTTTGCGCCCGATAATTGGTCTAATGATTCATCTATTCGCGGGATTGGATACGCATCCTTTACCGTTAATTTCCTATAATCGATACAAAACCTATGCGTTCCATCTTTCTTTTGAACTAATACAACACCACTAGCCCAAGGACTTGAGGATGATTCTATAATTCCCTTATCCAACATTTCATTAACATGTTTATTTACTTCTTCGTTCATTTGATGAGGAAGCCTTCGGAGAGGCTGTTTAATTGGATGTGCATCCCCAGTCGATATTTTGTGTCGAATTATTCCTGTGCGTCCTAGATCTGAATCTGTCTCAGAGAATATATGAGAATATTTACACAGTAACTTGTGAACATCTTTACACTGATTTTTATCGAGATCTTTAGTAGCTCGTTCATACAGATCTTTTAAATGAGACGGGATATTAGAATTATTCTTTTCACTTGATACCTTAACTTCGTTCACACTTTTAACAGGACTCATGATAGCAAGATGAGTTCCTGGATGCAAAACCTTTGTTTCTTCTGACAAGTTTATAACTCTTATTGGTATACTGCTACTTGCTTGCACAAGTGTTCGAGCAACTAAACCATCGTTATCAAGAACAGGACGATTCAACTGTTCCACTAAGTACAAACCTCTAGTAGGCTTAGATGCATCATTAATTTTACCCTGTATCACTTTTTCAGAATTTCCGGGAATTTCAGTTCTTTCTTTTACAATAACCCTGTAACACCCTATCGGTCCCGAACAATTTAATTCATGTGACTGTCCATTTAAGCGTAAAACACATTCTGTAAGATCGATATTTGCATTTTGCGATTTTAAATAATCAAGACCCAAGATTGCGTCCCCTTCTATTTCTGATACAATTACATCAAGCAATGATGCATTATCCCCGATCTCAATTTTAACTTTCTTGCTTCCTTGTATATCTAATAATTGTCCTGATGCTGTAACAATATCAGCTGTAAACGAATTTAATTTCATAGGGGAATTATTGTTACCGCATGAATTTCTTTGATACTATGGTTAATGTAGCCCCTGTATCTACCAAGCATGTTGCTGGGAAATTATTAATTCTAGCTTCTATAAAATAACCAGACCCATATTTACTAGTATTTTGTTATAGAATGTTTACCATATTTTTTGTTTGTTTAGAATTTGAAAACTTGGTTATGAAGTTTCGGGCAATTATAACGAAGGTGACCACTTTCACCGCATTCATAACATTTAGAACTTGACATATCTCTATAATAATTATTATTATTACTATACCTTGAACTTGAGTATTTTGAATTTGTGTACATTTTACCCGAACCATCGGAATTTTCTTAGATCTTGTGTCTTAAACCCTTGTCTAGAATCTGCAGACTTTGACCAAGTATTGCCCTGTAAAATTTTCTTAATTTCTGACACTGACTTCTGTAACTGTTCAACGTCATTTTGTAACTTAACATTTAAATTTTCTGCATGACTAACCGTACGCATAAAATTTTTATTATCTGTTGTTCGCCTCTCCGCTCTATGAAAAGCCTCCAGCTCTACTGCGTGTCTTACAGCATCGTTGAGGTTTACAGGCCTTGCTTGCTTTATTCTTAGTCTCATGTCTGAACTGAAGAGAGAATCTATGAACTGCTCTTTTGCCAAGGTTCTCTCACATCTGAAGGTGCTGAGGGATAGGCTAAGTTAGTAAGTCTTTCGTATCTCCTGGCCCATTTCTGATAAAGACTCAGACGGTTTTTGCTTTCTCTCTCTTAATTGCACTCAATATAATTCTGTTTGATTTGGAGGTGCAAATCGCTCTTCTAAAGCCTTAACTAATTCATTAAAGCTTCGATCTTTAGTTCCAAGATTTCCGAATACACCCTGAGCCTGTCCGCGCAAAGAAACGGCCAAATAAAGACCTTTTTTGTTTTCAGACCATCTGTTAATCTCACAACAAGCGTCAAAATGAGCTTTGTAATCTAGCCATGATCCTGTTCCATCAAAAGTAGCTGGCTTCATGTATACTTTTGATTCTTGAGAACTGTCCATTTTTGGCTGGTTTGTATGCCTTGAGTCAGGTCCTAAGTCTTGTAAATAGTCATCAAAATTCTTGTTTTCTTCATACGGGATGTCAAAGCGTAACTTATTTTCCCTATCACAAAGCCTTTTTCTTTTAGTGCACAAAACGATCCCATGTTTCCGGACTTATATCCCTGTCTCCTTGTTCCTTTTAACAACAGTATTATATGGTTTTTACTTTCAGTCAAGGAATTGAAAAACCTAAATACGTGGTTCAAAAATTCAAAATGTGGGTTTGGACCAACTGCTTCGTTTTTTCTATTTTTTTCTTTCCGGGATATGCGGCAATTGGGGTCTTTTTGTTTGAATAAAAGGGTGTTAAATTAGGGACTAAATTACTGGTGTCTGAAAATTTATCTAAATTATCCCTGTATGAATGTTCTTTTATACGGGGCATTTTCCGAATTTCAAACGATCCATAATCGCCTCTCAATGTTTCTCAGGCCTAAAAGCGTGGAGTTTGAGAAGCCTTCATTCTTTATCTTAGAAACCTTTTTAATATAGGCTTTCAAATCAGTATCTTCGGTCCTTCATTCTAGAACCCGGGAACCGGTGTTTTTGCCATAAAATCTAATACTTCTGGCTCACTTGGTGTACTGTGCTTCAAGCCTGGTGACTTATCCTTGTGATCTGGTTCACCGCTCTGTGCTGAACTTTCCGTCACAGAGGATATTTCAGATTTATTCAAGAATTTGTCCAGGGAATGTATCTCGAGCTGTACCCTGAGACTTTCATTCTCTATTTCAAGTAGTTTGATTTTATCAAGCAATATTTGCTTGTCTTCAATGCTCATGTCATTCATGATTTATATATGAAAAAAAATGGTCTCTTTGCTACGGGCTCGGTACTTGATTAAGTACTTATCTGTTTAACTATTATATTTTATCCTTTATCTTTTATCCCACCGTCGCTGCCACCAAATTTGTAACGTGCACCGAGCTTATACCTGTATGATACTAAATTTTCCTCTGGCTTCTTTGCCTTATGATTATTTGATTGAAGACCAATGATTTATATTGCTTAATAAATGTGCATGAATTACCAAATTGAATTAAATATATAGATATAATTTTCCTCGATATTACCTTGTCTTTTAATTGAAAAACGAATAATGATTTCTATACCTATTAAACAATTTATTAAATTAATATCCTTTGAAATACTATTTATATATATACGTTCCCTCTCTCTCGTTCTCTATTTCTCTACTTATAAAACTATTCTTAATCTTCCTTTATTAATCTTTAATCCTTGCTTTCTTTCTACTTAATTTTTCTCAGCCTTATCACAGCGCTATGCACTGTGCAACTAAGAATATAAAAAGTAGGTATAGCATTTAGGATTGTCGACTGTTCAACACGCTGCTAAAACACCAACTCTCTATTTCACACATTCAACTGCCTTATATATTGGCTCGGGACTGCTTGCGCCCTCTGTCGTCTTCCATATCTTGTAAACGCTTGAATATATTACTATCATTGAATCAAATACTGCTTACCTTTTCAATATGCGTTACTTTTGTACATAGTTACATGACTCGGGAACCATCGCCAAAATAAAGATAATCTTACCTTTTTTATACATTAATAACATAACCGACAACTTCTAAGAACTCCAGATTGAAAAGCAAAAGGTAATTAAATCAAGCAACATCATCAAACATATTTGATATCAACTTACAGGTACAATTTACAAGAATTCACGTGTGGAACAATTTGTTTTGATTGTATACAAATGGTGTTTACTCATTAAGGGGAAGTAACTTTTCTATATTCGCTACAGTGTTAATGTGTTTATTTTTTTTCAATGTGGAAAATGAGTTTCGATCTTCATAATATTTTAATCATTGATAACATGTGCACATCAAAAAAATGACTTTCCCAACTTTTATATTGGTTTGTATAGTTTTAAAAATTGTCATAATGTGCATGTACGTTTCTTCATAATCCATTGTTTACATGTATTTTAGTTACGTGTCAACCTGTCACATCCGCCGTTTTAATTAGAAGACACTTGATTTATATATAATTTTTGAGAATTAACATTAACTTAATCGTTTCTAAATAAAGCTGCATAAAAATTAGTAATATATTGTTGTAATTTTATTCCAAGAGTATCTCCGAAAATCTGTCGGTCTCATTCTGTTATCAAAGTCATATGTAGACGTATGTCGATATTGATATCAAAAGTCAATTGTCTTGTGATGATCATTAATAAATTAAGATTTTTGTTTTTTATTTCAGGCATTATGGAGGAATTCAAGAGTTATGGAGGTGTAAACAAGTTGACAGAGGCCGTTCAACTTACCTAGCGCACTGCTCCCGTAATTCATTCACCTGTAATCAGCATTACACAGATTGACAAAAAATAAAAACAGCAAAGAATAAAATGATCATTTTATTTGTCTTTTTGTTTTATTTGTTTATGGTTTTGTACATCATCTTTATCATGTCATTTTATAAAAATAAAAAAACAGTTTTGACAAAGATTAAACTACTTCCGATTTCACGTACATGTACTGTTAATAGACGATAAAACAATATTTTTATAATAGCATATGAACATTTTTGATCGTCAGAGCAAGCGGGCATGCATTGTACATGTACGTATGTGGATTGAAAAAGACCGCCATGCCTTTAAAAAATCACTGCCAATCTCAATGTTCTTGTTTTATAATTCATGGTTTTATTTTTGAGACGACGCAGCGCCTGTTGTTTTCCCCCTGCAAACGTCGGTATAATTTCATTAAATGAATTCCTTAATGTTGTCCTTTCTTGTGCTGCCAACATCGGTAGAATTGCCTAGCAGATCGAACTTCTTAACTCTGTTCTATATTGTTCTGAAAGCAATAGTAAAATAAATTTATACATTAATGTTAAAAGCAGGACTGTACATGCCGACATAGGGTGTCGCTGTTTTGGCTAGTGCATTGTATGGAATGATGTATTATATCTCGTATTTCACGGATTTTTTATCAACCAACAATTAAAAGGAGACGTACATGTACTTCACATGGAAATCAGTTTGGTATCATTTATGTAACTGGTACAAATTTATCTAAAAGCCTGACTTAAAAGTATAAAATTACTTTCCAAGGCAGATGCATTTCACTGAAGAATACTTTGTAAACTGTCTTAAAGAAAATGTTGTATTTTTATTCAGTTCAGGTACAAAGTATAATTTCCCTTACGATAGTATGTCAATGGAATGAATCGACCTAAGCACGTGGTTGTTTTGCCATGTATTTCCTTTTTTTTCTTCTTCTTTTTTTTTGCTTACATAATAATTATAAATTTGTATAAACAATAAAGAAGCTCATCT